CATTTTTTTCTATGTTTCTGGTATCTTACCTTACATGGCATTTTTCTCTGTGGCGCGAGTTCTGTCGCACCCTTATTAGGCTACATATTTTTTAAGCGGTTTCATGCAGTAACTTGAAATATTTTCCAAAGTCCATCTCTCCCGAATTTAGCTTATATTTTTTAATATAATAAGCTTAAAAAATTTACAAAAATTAGGTACTGTAAATAGTTTTGACAGTTTTTATAAAATATGGTCCTATACGGTGTACTTTTAACAGTAAGAACCACAGCATTTTTTGACATTCTCTATATATCAAGATCATGTTGTTTTTTAGTCATTTCAAAACATTTTAAATTTATGGGAAAAAGTAAAATTGATGACACTGAATGACACTGACAAATTTAATAATCAACAACTATTTACTTTGATTTAAATGTAATACCTAATCTAAATTTTTCAACGTACCAAAAGTTGTTTGTGAGAATGTATTTGAGGTTGCGTCTGAAAATCGGTTAGAGTCTTTATTATAAAAGACCCACCCTGTGTGTATTAAATCTAAGTATTTTTTTTAAAACACGAAATTTTGTTAGACATAAAAATAAAAAATAAGTTTTGTAAGAAAGATCACAAAATCAAATTAAAAAAATCAAGCTTTATTTAACCAAATTTTTTGACAGCTTTATTGGTACAACTGTCAATATTATAATTTTTTCGAAGAAAAAGGAAAGAGAAACAAAATTCGAATCTTTACTTGATTCACAAAAAATTGTACTAGTGCCACCGTTTTGGTCAAACTTAAAATAATTCTGCCAATTAGGTACAGTAAAGTTTTAATGACGTCATTACGAGTAAATTGACATTTGGAACTGTCAAGTAAATAATCTTTTAATTATTATAATTAATAAAATTCTTACTGATTTTTTAATTTTTTTAAATCTCACTGTTTATAATATGATAAAAACGAACAAGAATAAAAAAACAAACTTTTTATTCGAGAATGTAGGTAGATATACTAACAAATTAATCTGATCTGTTATTTTAATCAACCTAACATCAGAGTAGAGTGAAAGACTAGTTTGTTATAAAATTTTAAATTTCTAGAAACATGCACCAGAAGTTTATCTTGGTTTATAGTCAATGATTTTTTTCATTTTCATTAAGTAACAAAAACATTAATTGTTTACTTCAAAACTTTTGAGATACATTTTTTATGGCAAGCAGTGTAGTTAGAAAATTATTATTTTTCTCATCTTTTTGTTATTGCCAAAGTTAAAATAATGAGTTTTATAGGTATGCCTAACATCACAATTTTGTGTTTCTACAGGAAGGTAAAAGAAACTTAAATACCTAACAAAGAATTAACTAAATTTGAAAAAAAGTCGTATTATTTTGCGAGGCATTATTGCTTTGAGTAACGTACATTTCACCCTTACCCTCTTTGCTAAAAGAAAAAAAATCTAAATATCCCCTGAGTCAAGAGGCAAAATCGCAATAATAGCACAATATCCTTTATTCGACTTTTCAACGCCATCCCGTATTATTCAGCAAAACGCATAATTATAATGCAATCTCTCGCTGTGTCCGTCTACGAAATCAAAACGCAAAACACACAATAGAATCAAAGACATTCCTTGACATACATTACAATACATGTTACCCCCTCGAAGATTTTTATTCTAACATCAATAATTACATGCCAGGAACAATCGCACGTGCAACTTCCGGTTCAAAGGGGCGCGACATGATTATTACATACCGCCGGACATCTTAGATTCGTGGGAATGACTTTGATTTTTAACTTTGCTTTTGTTAGACATCAACCGACTTTCGTGTGAATCGAGAGGCCTTAGGAATAAATAAACGAGAATTGAGCACTCTCACCCCCACTGGGGGCATTTGCGGCGGTGTAATTGAATGGCCAATTACAGTCCCTCCGGGTCCATTACTGTTGATACAATTAATGCCATCATCGCAATTCTTTTAAGCACTTGGGGTAATTGGATCGTCCGGTTTGTTAGCCCTTTCGGGGAGGAAAAATTCGCCTGATTGGGATGACTATAGTTCGTTATAACGAATTTAGTGAAAGCTTACAACGACCTTTTTGAATGTGAAGATAACAAGCGTGGTGTTGGCTTAAGCTGGATTTAGATGGGCCGATAAGAGGCATAAGCTGATTCCGGGTAAGCGATTTCTTCTAAATACGTTTGTCTGTTTTGGTGGATGCGAGATTTTATCGGGATGAGGCRATTGGATGCGTCGCTTGGTATTGACCTTCTGAGATGWGACATGGGCACGAGGCAATTGTGGGTAGAAATAATAATGAGTTTTCTATAAAAAAAATAAATATGTTTGACATTTGTAAAAACAGGGTTTGCTAAATCAAACGTTACAAACAAAGCCATATTTTTTTAACTTCTCATAACCATTTTTATTTCAAATTTACCCAACATATGAAGAAACGATTCCAATTAGTGAAAAAAGGTTTACTAGTCAATAGTAGGTATTATCATTTCTATTTCCTATAATATTTATATTAAAACACTTCCTTTGCACGATCAAAGAATTTTAATTTATTTTGATTGAAGAACTGCTTTCAACTAGTCCAAATTTTAAATCTTTATTATACTTCAAATAGAGAATAAATCCAATTAATCTATTCATCTATAAACATGTTGTTGCTTTTGTCAGAAAAGAGCTAATTACATTACACTTCACCTAAACCTAAACCAAAGAGAAGCAAATTTTAAAGGTTTGTCTATACCAAAAAAATATCTAAATTTTAACCTGCTGATATTATTTCTAATTAAATACAATCATTTTTTTTTGCTGCAGGCTGTTAGAAGAGAAAATAAAGAAGCTGTATTCTGATTTGTAACTACGTTTAACGTCATTTGTAGCTTTTATTGGTAAAGTATTTACACCTTTATTGAATAAGTATATGAGAAAACATATACAAGATCATTGATAACATTAAATATACAGGGTGAATATAAAGTATGGAACCAAGCGGTTTTATTTTTAATCATTTGCCTTCAGAAAATAATAATTAATATAAATTAAAATAATATAAAAAATGTGATCGTATTTTCAGAACGAAATTTTGTTTTGTTTTTGAGTTATGCGATTTTTTTTGTCAAAATTAAAATTAATTATTTTATCACTCATCAATTAGTTTTTTCAAAAAATAAATAGTTTAAGCAAAAAACGTTCGGTTCCATACTTTTTATTCACCTGGTATATAAAAAAGGTCATAAAATAAATGCCATATATTATTTTTTCTATGTTCCTATAGTATCTTAACTTACTTGACTTTTTTCTCTGGAGCGCGAGTTCTAAAACATCCTGTAGGTATACTTAGGTACATTTTTAGCATCTACACCATGTTGCAGCACATTTTGTTTACTCTCTAAAAAATTAAGATTCTTTATTAAAACATTTCGCTTTGTCATCCATTTTGAAACAAAGTTTCATCATAATTCTGTTTGCCATTTGAAATATGGTATATGTTTTTGTAGTTTACTTAGGTATACATACTTCTAGTATTTACAGTGGTTGTTGCAGCTTATAAAAACATCTATTTGTTTGAAGTTTTTTTATAAAAACATTGGTACCTAACCCTTCCAAGTTATTTGCAATATCCTTGCTTTTTTTTTTTAGAAAAATAAATCTTCTATCTTCTTATGTATACCTGGGTACACGTTTTTATGTTTTTTTAACATAATTTAATTTTTATTAAAAAAAACTTACCTAGGTATAAAAAGAGAAAAATTAGGTAGCTAGGTGTAGGTATCAAATTAAATACAGGGCGATTGAAATAGGATAATGAGCCTGACGATCTGGCGATGCAACCCAAAAAACAAAAAATCCAATTTAAAATAGAATTTGCAAGTTGAATCCAAGTTATCATCTTATGTCACTCTGACATCAGTGCAGAGAACGATCATTAGTGCCATTCAGTTTTTGCGGAATGTATATAAAAGTATGAAATGAAAATGAAACATTAAAGGTAGGCAAACAGTTTTTTTTTATAAATCATAAATTGCTTGTCAAAACACTGTCAGAGCAACATAAGATAACTTGGACTGCAAATGCAAATCGTCTCTAATTAAAATTAGATCAAGACGTAAATGACATTTGTTTTTTGGGTTGCATCGCCAGATCGTCAGACTCATTATCTTTTCTGAATCACCCTGCATTATGTATTTTAGTGCTACTCTGTTTTATACCTAACAATATTTTAAAATAAGTACTTACATATTTAACAAAGTGAAAGATATCGAATTTCTCACCTATCACATCAAAATTTATTCTATTATCAAAAAATATCTTGGAAATTATCTGTAATAGCATCATACGAATTACAGATTTATGATAATTTTTGTAACACTAATCGATAGAAAATGTACAAACATTGGAATTAGAATCAATGATGCAACATAATTTATTTTACAACTACATATTTTCTTAGAAAAATAAGTAACTTAACTAATTTTATTACTATGTATTATCAGATACAAACAAATAAATTTTATAAATTGTTAAAACGATGTTTACTCAACGTTTATTTTTATAAGTAATATAAAAATTCCATAGGATTAAAAGTGGGCAAGAATTCCATTTTTGGTCTAAAAATAAACTCTCTTTCGCGCAGAGCCACCTTGTGTCAAAAATGATCTTATCTTCAATTATCTCCACGTGAGCTTAATTTAGTTGAAAATTTAATAATTTAGCGAAAGTCCGAAATTATGTTGAAACTTTCCCTGTCGCCACCTGTCCCCAATCAAATCATCATTCCACTCTTGAAACAGTAAAAAATCAACAAGTTTGGTGAAATGTCATCGCGTCCCACCTCCCGTCGCGATTGGCTCCCTAAGCACCAACAGAATCTCGGCATGAACCTTATTGTTTCCTGCAGCCAATAGCAGGGGTCCTGCTTCTGGCCAATCAGCATCGTTTTCACTCCGCCTTCCTGCAGTTCGGCAAGAATGGCCTACTGCGCGCTCAGTCCAGCTGTGATCACCGTCTGTGGCAGTTGTTTGCGCGTCTCCGGTATCATGTGTTCAGTGACCTTCTTGTAGTTGTTTTTCCTGACTGTTTTCACGATGATAAACGCCTTCATGGACACGAGCCACCACCACTTGGCTTCCTATGGCCTGAAGATGAGTCCGGGCCACCAGGCCCAGGCGCCGGCGGCGGCCATGCCCGCCCCCGACCAGAACCACCACTTCCAGAACTACGGCCACATGGGTCACATGGGGGGATACGCCGCACGGGATTTCCTGCTGCGGAGGGAGGACTTCCCGCCGCAGACGGCGCCCAGTGAGCCGGTGCTCTTCCACCACCACGGCGACGTGCCTCAGCACCACCTGCCGCACCACCACCAGATGCTCTACTCGCGCCCCGACGCTTACCACCAACCCCAGCACCAGTACCTCAACCCCATGGGGGTGCCCGCGCACCACTCGCACGGGGCCTTCTTCAGGTACATGCGCCAGCCCATCAAGCAGGAGATGCAGTGTCTGTGGGTCGACCCCGAGCAGCCGCCCCCGAGGAAAATCTGCGCCAAGCACTTCACCAGCATGCACGAGATTGTCACCCATCTCACGGTGGAGCACGTCGGAGGACCCGAATGCACCACGCATGCCTGCTTCTGGCAGAACTGTTCCAGGAATGGAAGGCCCTTCAAAGCCAAATATAAATTAGTCAATCATATAAGGGTGCACACGGGGGAGAAGCCCTTCCCGTGTCCGTTTCCAGGCTGTGGCAAGGTTTTCGCGAGGAGCGAGAACTTGAAGATACACAAGAGGACGCATACAGGTAAGTGTGGATGCAGATGACAAAAGCGTAGACCCTTTAAAAGAATTTGGAGGCTTTGTGAACCAGTGAGAGTTGGAGATGAAAACAGCTTGACTGGAAACTTTATTTCTTTGGGGCGAATTTTTGACACGGTATTGGCGATGCACGAAAGAAAATACACCAAAAACAAGCATTTGTGATAAGATAGTTCAGTAAAAGAAAAGAAGAAAAATCATAAGGCTGTTTTTTAATTTCGATAAGCAACTTGGAATTAATGTGCAAAAGAATTTAATTAGTTATGTTAATTTTGGCCAGTTCTTTGTTATTTTAATCGAAAGATGAATGACAAACTTGTGAAAGTCAAGTTTGGTTGGGAACGTTTACCGACGGCAAACAATATAATCTCAAACAAAAACACACACTCGTTTTGTTTTCGTGGATTTATTTATTCAAATATAATTTATTAGTTTATAAATGGCTGTCGTAGACATCAGACACGTTGTTTTTGTATTTTGTGTAGATATTTCGTTTTTAATTGTTTTAATTTTTATAGAAAAAAATATTGGTTATTTTACATTTTAATACCTAAAACTAATGGTATAGAGAAAGTTAGCTGGGATAACTTAAAATATAAAAAAAAATTCAAGCATCCCCATATTTTATGGCTTCAAAAAACAAGTTATCGATTGTTTCAGTGAAAAATTGTTCGGTTCATTTTTTTAAGTGTTGAATCATCAGAAATGGGTTTTTAACAATTTTCTGCATAAAATAACACAAATAACAAAATAACACCACATTGAATGTGATAGAAATCAGCGTTTTTATATTTTTTTATATTTAGATATGTATAAAAATAGCATAAATAAACAACACTGTAGTACCTACGTTATGAATCATCTTGTATATATCCTTATTATTCTTGAGGTTTTATTTATTTTTTCGATATTTTACATGTTGTATGTAGCTAAGAAACCCAAAATTATCTATCTATCTATATCAAATAATAACAATTAATATGAAAATTGCATCTTTAAAGAGCTGTATTTACCTAGGGAAAGGTACAAAGCTTTGAACGCTGTTTTGAAAGTAACTAAATTGTTGTCAAAAGCACCCGACTGTTGAATCAACTACTTTTTGAATCACCCTGTAGAAGCTAGCTCGTTATCACTCCATTTTTTCTTTTTGTACAAAATTATTTTTCTATCACATTTTAAAACTGATTAATTATTATGGAGACGTTTTCTCGATTTTATAATAAATTTTTGATTAAAATAACGTTTAGAAATTAAGTAATAATGGATTTTAGGCATTTGTTTTTCGGATAACTATATAATGAAACTATACAATAAACAAATTAGGTAGGTTTTTGTTTCAAATTTGTGTTAATTTAATATAAATTTTTGATTTATCATTTACGAATTGTTTTTTTCTTCATTGCAAACAAAAAATTAATTTCTGCGTATAGTACAGCAAACTCAGATTTTTATATTTTTTGTCATATTGCATAAACCACCTTATATTAAACAATTTTAGAATTATAGAGACTAATTTGATATTTGATTTGCAATACACGTAAGATAAAAACAATGTTAATGAAATAGGTAAAAAAAGAAATACTAATTCTTAAGTATACATGTTTGTTTACTTGTATGCAGGTGTATATTTACTTATAATAATACACGAACAGAAATTCATATATTTGCGATTCGTTTACTTTTGAGTGACATTTATGGCATTTTATGTAAAGAATCCAGAATCTTGATGGAGAATCTGATAAAAGGTAATCGCGTTAAACCAATCACAACACAACACAGGGTATAGTTAATTTAACTTAAGACAATCATAATAAAATACGTCAAAATACATTTTTTATTGGATAACTTGTATTCTTTCATACTTCGTTTATTTTATTATTAATATTATTATTATAATTCTCTGCATGATAATTTATATATTATAGAAGTGAAAACGCATCTACATAATGCGACAGAACTTGCGCCCCAGACAGAAAAATAAAAAAATATATAAAGATACCAGAAACATTAAAAAAATGTTAAAAAATTGTTACCTATAACAATTTGGAAGTTGTGAGAGTTTAAATTTTGCACTTTGACTCTATTTATTTCTGTTGGAAGGATAATTTTTTAATTAATTATTTTTCCCCACATGCTATTAGAAAAGGAAACAAGGACGGTGTATCTTAAATTGTAACTCTGTTTGATGTTATTTGTGGCTTTTATTGGCAAATTTTTTGTATCTTTACTAAATAATTATAAAAAAAACATACAAGATTATCATCAGTATCATTAAGTAGACACAAAAAAATTATCTTACTTGAAATGTTCTGACACCCTGTATTGGAATGTAAAACTGTATGGTTTTTGAAACAAATAAGAAAAGCAGAGTAAAGGAAAAAGATAAATAATCTTTATTAAAAAAAAATACTCTAGATAGAATTACAAAATCACTATAATGTCTACAAAAGTATGTACCTCCATCAGAGATTTGTCATACTTTACTTATTTTCTGTATTTTATCAATAATGGTCAATATTAGTCACATTTATTGTATAAATGAATAAAATTAATTATTTCAGAACATAACAGTTTATAGTCACTATTATTTGGCGATTAAAAATAACACTGTCTTAGCTGTTTAAATTTTTTTGTGCAACTTGGCACTTTTACATGAGTCGGAAATATTTTTGTTTGTTTCATTTTCAAGGTAGAATGTTTAGGTATCTAAAATAAATTCTATTAATTTATTAATAACATCCCGTTTACCGAACCCGTCGTCGAGGTTAATCACCACACACAAATCCACGAAATTGAAAGTTAATAAACCTCAACCTCTAATGAATTACTAATAATAATAATAATATAATCAATTCGTGCTGGGAAGCGAGTTTCTTATGCAATACGCCTTTAATTCGAGATTAACGGTCAGTCTGTCCGCATATTTCTTAATCGTTTTTCTATAGAAGCACCCCCTCAAACACAAAAGATCCTTTTTTCCCAGAACTCGGTGGAAAGCAGCTTGACAGTGCCTATTGTGAATTTTTGTTCGGTCAACACGCCTACCGAAAACTCAGGTTTAAGAGACAATTTATGTTTTCAGTTTCTCTTTCGAGGCCGCTATCACTGTCACAAAGTCGGTAAAAAATTGCCCTATAACGAGAAATTTTACCTAAAGATGTTAAATCACTGATTTACGGGGGGCGGAGTCCCCAAATAACCATTTCTCGAGCCGGTTTAGTATTTATTAGCATTTCGGATTTGAAATACCTCGAAGGGGTAACTTTATGACTTAATCCCTTATTTACAAATACTCATCGACTGTGACTAATGATTTATGACAAATCTCGTCAATTTTTCACCGAAAAATTAATTTCGGCTTGAGGAGCCATCACTGTAAAAAATCCCATAAATTAATTAGAAAAACGATGGGCGTTTCTGATGGGTAGCAATATTTCAAGGCGGACCTGATAATCACCTGGAGGCCCTCGGTAGCCTCTCCAAACACACGCTCGATGGGTAATTAGACCATCCATCACGTGGTTCATGGGGTGGGGGGCATTGTATACGATTTTCGAGTGGACACATGTGCACACCCTCGACAATGTGTCGAACGACTGCTGGTACACAGATTGGCCTCGAGGGTTCTCAAAACCCGCCAGAAATCACCGACTAATCGCTTTTCGATTCGGGGATTAACAGGCGATTAGAGACGATTTGCCACGCGAAACGTGAAAACTCTTATCGATCGACAGGAATTCGACCTCTGACCGGGCAGAAAACGCGGGGGCGGCTGGGCAAACGCTACCTTTGTTACACTTTTTTATTTTCAAAAGTAGGTGAAAAGCAAAGACAGTGTGATAGTAGTGACTATAGGTACAAGGTGATTTAAAAAACATCTCTGTCCTAGAATGTTTATATGTCACTAGTTATTTTTTTAATTTTGTGTAGCTATTATAATTTTTATTAATTACCCTTATTCTACACTCAGAAAAGTAGAAAATGTCGTGTCCATAAACCAACCCTCATTATTTAGGTCCTCCTACCTAACCGCAGTTATAAACCATCTGCAAGGGAAAAGTAATAAAAATGCTTTTACATTTAGCCTCAACATTTTTTTTAAGTAAATCTTGTCATGGAATTTTATTTCATTATTAATAATTATTATAATTAAGCGTCTGTAAAATGTGTTATACATTTTTATATGAAAATTATTATATCCTACTTTAATAACTCTATAGGTAGTGGTATAGAGTGATTCAGCTAGACAAACATACATGTTTGACGAATTATAATATAGGTTTTTACTTCTGCAAATTCTATAATTTTTTTTATAGGTAGTATAACATGAGTTCAATTAAATTTTTAATCAAAGTGTGACTTTGAAATTAATTTACCATCACAGCATACTAATACAGTACAATTTTTTTAAATCATTATTGCGGTATTGTCGTTAAATAGGCCAGAAATTTAAAATCATAATTTGGTGGAGTCAGTGCGAAGAAAAAACAGCACATCTATAAATTTTTGTCTAATTACATGAAAGCAAAGAACTTTATAGATTTTAGTTAAAAACAGGGTTGCTCCAAGAAATTCTACATTTGAATTAAATGATAAAATTAAATGATTAAGTAATTAAATTAAATGAACACCAGGGATTTGGATTTTGAGGATGAAGTGAGCTCTGATGATGAGGAAAAAAACAAAGACAATAATCTATCAGGAATTGAACATTAAGTGACGAGGACTAATTTTTATTTATTTGTTAAATTATTATTATTATTTGTTTTTCGTGTACGTTTAAAACCTTAGTACCTATAAATGATTTTTATTTTTGTTAGAACTCTTAGAGAATTCCTTATTCAATATACAAAATTTTTTAACAAATTTTAAAACAAAATATTCATTTGGTAAATGACAACCTCCTAAGCTAACTATTTATGCCTACGTCACTGACGCAGCGCCTGTTGTCAAATATTGATGACAACATACTATTCTTACTTTTTT